GAGACATTTGTTAAGAGTTTTGCCACATTTTACAACCTTTCTTGTCCCCATTATTAAGTGAATTACTGGAGTTGTTAAGTTAGAAACATGACTGTTAAGTGAATCTGACTTCCCCATTGATTTTGCTTGTCCAATGGTTGCAAAAAGTGACCCTGGAAGACAGCAATGGTCATAAGTGTGAACCAACTGCCAAGCATCTGAAGTTTGATCATATGACTATGGGGATGCTACAAAGGTTGTAACTGTGTAAAATGGTCATGTCATATTTTTCCAGTGCTGTTGCAACTTTGAATGGTTACTAAATGAATTGTTGTAAGTCAAGAACTACCTGTCTACCTGTGGTTCTGTGAGTTTGAAGAGCCTCAATTGTTTCTCCCCATAGAGTACCCTGTGGTTGCTGGTAAGAAGATTGAAGATGGGGGGGGAGCTGAGTCTACCCAGAATGTCCCCAGCAGAGGCATCACTTCAGCCCAGGAATTCGGGATTCAGTCTCTGCTACACAGCCTGATCTGGGCCAGACCAGCTCTGGCAGGTATGCAGGAAGTTTAGAGCAACAGTTGCCTGCTGAAAGATTTGCACAACTGGCTGGACAGACACACAGAACAACTCCAAAGGACAAAACTAGCTCAAGAGTAACAGTCTGAAATAACAGAATTAACAAGTGGCACATCTGCCACAAGTGAGGCTTCAACAAAGTTCTGAGCTGTGCAGAGCTCTCCACAAGCACACAATTCACAAACGTAGAAGAGCAGGAACTTCTTTCACTGCATTGGGAGAACAATCGCTGCCTGCTTCCTGGACCACATGTCCCATACATGTCCCTCTCCACGCAGGCCACATCGCTACCACTTCACTTCCAGGCAGTGGCAGATTAAGGCTCACTGGTGCCCTAAGCACTGACAAATCTTGGTGCCCCCCTCCTCCTTTGAACATAATGTACAAATCTTGGTTTTTCCTTTCTTTCTCAACTTTGGGGTGTCCCCTTTGGGCCTGGTGCCCTAATCACGTGCTTAAGCTGCTTAATGGTTAATACACCCCTGCTTGGGCTCAAGGCATACAGTTGCAACCTTCTTAGTCACCTCTTGGAGGGAGGGCAGAGCTTCTACTCTTTAGGGAGCATCTCACTAACCTCTGAAGATGATATCAAAGGCCACAATCACCCAGGCCTTCTCCTAGGTTATGTGCCTAGCCCATGGCCACAGTGCTGCCCATCTAGGATCTCAAACTGGCAAACCATGGCTGGAGGCACCACATGGTCCTATCAGTGCAAAGTCCAACATATTGGACTAAGGATAGCGGCAGCTTCAACCAATCTTGGCTAGATCTTCTGCTAGGAAATGTATCCTTTACAGCTGCAAACTGTTGGTGGAGTTGTCTACCTAGTCACCTTTGCAACCTGCCGCTTCAGGCCCTGTTTTATGACCCCAAGAAGTCCTGACTGCATTTGTAAAACCAGAGACCCCCAAGATGCAGAGTTTAAACATTTTCAGGACCATAATTCCCATTTCTTGCTTTTTTTTGCTGAAAGCTGTTGCTCCCAGGCTCCCCCCCACAACTCCAGGTTTCTCCATGCAGTTTTCCCAATGTTTCTGCTGGAAAACACCTCTCAGAGGCTTGTTTCCTGCATACATCATTTATTGCTGGCATGTGGCTCCCATGCTGAAATGCAAGTTTGTTATGCTGCAGCCTTTGACAAAGCCTCTCAAGCTCAGCCCAGACATCCATGCAAAGGGGCAGGAGAACAGCCCCAGAATGAGTCAACCTCCAGGGATGCAATTCCAACAGCCAGGAAATCTCTGGAAGATGCAACCTCTGAAGGGCTCTGCATAGTCATCTGGAAACCAATTGCATCAAGCAGTGGAGCTACATCCGAGTAATCTGGGGTGAAGCACTAGGAGAGGGTCCGGTCTCCTGGTATGCTTTGAAAGTCAGGAGTTGAACTAACAATTTGGCTGCTTGGGTTGCTTCCACACCCACTGAGCTCCCATGGACAACTGCTCTGGAGCCCTTCCTGTGGGAGGAAGCCATGCTGTGTCAGTTGTTCACTGGCCACCAATGGTGGTCACCATCACTCAAACACCTGGTTTGCTTCACCTAACACATCTGCATGCTTCTTTGGCTTGGAAGGAATCCCAGCCTGACGTTCCAAGAAATCAGTTCACTATCCCTTTTCAGACCCACAGAGATGCCTACAAGGAGCCCCCATTGAATCTCTGGCTACCTGTGATAAGGAGCCCCACACAGACATGCACCAGGCTCAGCATAAGCGCCTTGCTGACCTTTGATCCCCTCAGAAAGGCCCTGACTTTACAGATTTATCATCCACCTTAGGAAATGGAAGGTGGGCAGTGACTTTGGCCATACTTTATGCGGTAGCTCAACATATAATTCCTTTTTATTACACCACTCTTGTTCCAAGCCCTATCTGTTATTTTTCTCTATGAATTATCCCCAGAATAATTTTCATGCCCACAGGCTTAGAAAGGGTTGCAGGGGGCTGCTTCTCCACTTAAAATGGCTCCATCTCTCTGCTTCGGAAATAGCTGTTAATGTCATTTACATAAAAGAATTATCACTGTGGTTAAGTAACTCGAAATAACTGCCTCGTGTACTGCGAAAGAAGCTGAACTGCCTTTTTTGGCTCTGCTTTGGCCGTGCACTTTTTCTCAATGGGATGTTTCTTCCCAAACGATATAAAACCAAAGATGATAAAATCATTTTGGATTCTATACCCCAGATGTCAGAGGGAGAGGAGAACAAGGAGACTTTTTCAAGGGGGTAAATTGTACAGAGTAGCCTTTATTGTCATTGTACATCATGTATACAATGAAATTGGCTTTAGCCTCACTGGTGCAATCCATGACAAGTAAATACAAACAACACAAATAGTATAAAGAATAAACCCTACGCAAGTAATTAAGGCCTCTGGCCCTTCCTGGCCAAGCCCCATTGCTCTCTTTGGCATCTTCTCCCAACTGCAGAGGGCAGCCAGGAAATGAAAAGGGTGCCAGGAACACTCTCGGCCTGCTTGGTGTTGGGGCAAAATTGTGGCAACCTCCCCAGGATAAAAAAGTGTTCCTAACATCAATATTTCAGACGCAACAGTTAAAGTTCCCAGCAAAAGACAGCAGCAGATCCCGACAAGCAAGCCGGCTGCTCTCCCTCTGTGGGTCTGTGGGGAAGGCAGAGGAGAGCCTGTGTGCAGGAGATCATCCCAGCCATAACGTCGGATTAATTTCCAGCCATGTTCATACCATATAATGTGAGATGATCATTAAGGCCTATTAAAATGATTGGTGGCCTACTTCCCATCCTTTCATTAAAACAAGGCTCGATTGGGTTATAAATATTCATTATGAGGAATTTCATCTTTATCTATCTAAAATTTCAGCCCCTCACTCGCAGGGCTCTATTATCTGATCCTTCAGAGGGAGAAGAAGGCTTTGATGCCCACAGTTGTCCCCCCACCAGGGGAATGGGTCCTCTGCACCCCCTGAAAGGAGGGTTTTTTTTTTGTCATTCTGAGACAGTGAAATGAATAACCATCTCCAGAGGTGAAAGATCACGCCCCCCCCTCCTGGATTGAGGGGTTGCCCTCTTTGGGGGTGGGGACACAGGCCAATGCCTAGAACCTAACCCTACATGCAGGTGAGTCTAAAGCAGGGGTGTCCAAACTTTAAGACTTGTGGACTTCAACTCCCAGAATTCCCCAGCCTGCACAAGTCTTAAAGTTCCCAAGTTTGGACACTCCTGATCTAAAGGTTATACAGGAAGCGATTCAGGCACAGCTTCACTGGCTCCGGAGCATCTTCCTTTCTCCAGGGAGACCAAAGAGCGGCCCCTCTTCTCCCCCTCTGCCTCCTCACCCACCAAGCGGAAGGCATGACTTCCCAAGCACCCTTGTCCCTGGGGAGAGCCCGTGAGGGCGCTGCACAGGGCCCCGGGGGACTCCCTGGCTGCCAATGTAGAGGGGCGGCGGAGAGCCCTGCACGGCCCCTTCCCCACGCCGCTCAAGGGGAAGAGCCGCGGAGCGGAGAAGGGGACTCGAAGCTCCGGTTGCCGCCTTGACTTGCCCGACAAGGACAGACCCAGCGGCCTCTTCCTGCCGCCCGCCCGCCCGCCAGGCGCCGAAGGAGAAGCCGCCTGCCTGCCTGCCGAGTTCTCCCCTCGCGTCCTGGCCGGGAACTCAAAGCCCCGCCGCGCTCTCTGCCAAGGAAGCCCCGCATTTGGGCCGGAATTCGCGCGGGCCCAGCGCCCCTTCCTCGGCTCCGGCACTCGGGCAAAGGCGCAACCGGCCGCCCAGCCACAGGCTCCCGTGCCGCATCCGCCCTCCGCAGCGCCCCTCATTGGGCAGCCCGGCGAGCGGCCGGCCTCGCGGGTCGCGTGGCGGGCACCGGAGCTGCAGAGATCTCCCTGCCGGTACCTGTCATCCTGCACTCGATCCTGCCGGCCGACCCTGCCGGGGCGCTTTTGCTCGTTGGCGCTGCCCGGCCTGCCTTTCGTAATTTCCGCCTTCCATCCCGCCGCCGATCGGAGCGAGCCCGAGACCGCCGCCGGACCCTCTCCGCCCGTTGGAGGCGCCCCAGGTGAAGACGGACCTCCACTGGCGGCCGAGGGGGGCGGGCCCCGGTGCCTCCCTCCCTCGGAGGAAGGGAAGCGGCGCGCCTGTGACGAGGCGATCGGAGCGGGGCGGGGGCGGCGGGGAGGCTGCTGGCAGCCAAGATCACCTTCAGGCGGGCAGAACCCAGCCCCGCTCGCCCCCACAGTCGCCGCCGGCTTCTCGCCCTCCCGGCTGCCAGGCGAACTGGATGGGCTGCCAACCTGCCGCAGCCTCCCCGGCCGCAGGGACCCCGCTCTCACGCCCACGCTTACTCAACACTGCAGTCGGGGGGAGGGTGCATTGCACAACGTCCCGGGTGAAGCCCCCCTCCCTCTCTCCGGGTCCCGGCCGGCCGGCAGATAACCCCCCCCGTTCCCCCCGGAATGACGCGGGCTCCCACCTCGCCGTGCTGGCTCCTCCGGCCCTGCGGCGTGTCCTCCGGGAGGAAGTAAAGTTTGGAGCTGGATAAAAGTTGCCGGGAGGTCCGCTCCTCCCAGAGCAGCTGCAGCTCCGCTATGCAAAGGGGGTCTTCGGGCCGGCACCGCACAAAGAAGAAGTCGCCGAGGGAAAGGATCCGCGTCCGGCCGCCCAGGTGGAGCTGGAACGCCTTGTAGAAAATGTACGGTCCGTGCAGTCCGCACGGCGAGCCGACCCACTGCGGGGGGGAGGGGGAGGCGGAAGGGAGGGGAGAGAGAGAGAGAGAGACAAGCATCAGCCCCCGCAGAGCCATCGCCGAAACGCGCGGCCTCCCTCCCTCCCCCGGCTGCCGGATCGGGTCGGGTCTCGGGCGAGGCGACAGGGAGCCAGGCGGGGCGGGGGCTGCGGGATGGCTGTCTGCCCTCTGTCCGGCGGGCAGGGACCCCATCGGGCGCCCCCATCCTGTCCCCCTTCGGGCAGAGCGGTCGGGAGGCAAGCAGTTCCCGGGGAAAGTTCCCTGAAACTTTGGGGGGCGGGGGGCGGGGGGCGCCGCCGGGAGGGGCCAAGGAGGACCGAATACCTGGACTGAATTGGGCTCCATCTCGACGCTCTGAATTGATTGAACTCAACATTCTCCAAACTTGTTGGCTTGAATGGATCGCATCAGGTCCTGGCAGGGAAAAGCGGGCTCTCGCTGCCGCCGCCGGCCAGCCTCGCTCGAAACGCCGAATCCCCCGGCCCGGGGCCGCTTCGGAGAGCCAGAAATGCCCCGCGGCGCTTCCCGCCGCCTCCCCATTTCCCAGCCGGGGCGCAATCCGGGCCGTCCTCGCCGGCTGCCGTCCGCCCGCCCCGGCGATGCGGTTCAAGGCGCCAGCCCGGCACTGCGGGGAGGCGAGCGGCTGGAAGCGGGCTGGGGCTCGGGCCGGTTCCTTAAAATCTCAGTCTGCCCGAATCCCCCGAGCTCCCGGCTCCCCCGAGCTGCCCGCCGGCCCCCCAAGCGCCCGAGCGAGCCGCCGCTCCATTTTGCCGAGCCGAGAGGCAGTCTGGTGAAGTCTTCATCTGACAGGACCTGCTTGTATATCTCTAATATAAAGAACATTTCCTGCCGGGAGTCGGAGGCGCTGTTCGTCTTTCTAATTCTCTCCAGCAGATTTGCTTTTATTAGCCATGTAGATGGGGCCGATAGTTAAATTGCGTTTCCTTGGTGCCATATTCCGCCCCCCCTCTCCCCTCTCCCCCCTCCCTCGGCGGAATCGGATCCCTCGCATTCGCTGCCTGGCCCTAAGATTTCAATATCAAGACGGGCGGGGCGGCGGGGGGGATCGATTATATAAACATATAAATATTAATGCATTTGTTTGCTTTGGCGCACACGCGCACACACACCGACACACACATACACGGCCCAGAAGCACCGAGGCGTGGTGAGCGGACTCCCACGGAAGCGCAGCGATCGCGGGATCTGGCCAGCGATCTGGAGCAGCGGATCGAACAATAAATCAATATTGGGGCCCAGCGCGGCGCGTGGGGGGCTTCGGCGGCAGCGCTGGCCTCCCCCCTTCTTCCCTTCTGGAAGCCCTGGGCACACACGTACACACGGTTACGTGGGGACAATGCGCATTTCCGGCAGGGGCTCCAAGCCCCCCCCCCCCCGCCGCCGCCGTTCATAGGTGCCGATGCCCAAGCGGTGCGGAAAGCGGAAAGGGGGTGGGGGGGGCGAGGGTGCTAGATTTGGAGGCTCCTCAACGACCCCCGAGATTCAAGCCGAGCGGGACGCGGAGAGGGGAGGGGGTGGACCGTAAGAGGCCCGGCGGCTTCTGCTGCCGCTGCTGCATTCGCAGCTGTTCTCGGTCTTGCGGAGTCGGAACCGCTGCGGGCACCGGCATGAAGCAAAAACTTCAGAGCCGCGATTCCCCCCCCCGCCGCCGCTGGGAGACGCGGCACTGGCTGGGCTGGGCGATGGTGCAGTTGCCTCCGGAGCTCCCGCGGCGGATCGCCTTCCCCGCCCCCCGTAGGGAAGGAGGAGGGGATACATCACCGCGGGGTTCTTGGACAGGGAAATCGGTGTCTGTACAGTAGGGGACAGTTGTAATCCGAGCCTTCATAAAATTACAGGTTGGCGAATGGCCCCGAGAGCTATGCTGGACGCTTTCGCAACGGTCCACCTCGGAGGCGCCGCATCCAGCCGAAGCGGGAGGACGGGGGGGGGATAAAAACTGGAGCCCCGTGATGGAGGAAATCGATCCCGGGGACGGGCGGGGGGTCTCTCCGCGGCGGGAAGGGGGGGGTTGAGCCTTCTCCATCACGCATACTCCCCCCTCCCCGGCATCGGCGCCCTTGAGCCCGGGACGCGGCGGAGACCCCAAGCGGGGGACTTCGCCGGAGCTGCGAAGCTCCGAAAACTCTGCCGCTAATTTCACGGTCCCGCCGCGGCAGGCGAGGCGAAGGGGGCGCTCGGCCGGCCTCCCTCCTCCCCGCCCGCCGCCTTCGGACCGAGGCTTCACCCGCTACGCCGACGCGGAAGCCCCGTGCGAGGTTTGGGGCCCCTGGATGAGCAAATCCCAAAGGAGGGTCCAGCTGGGCCTCCTTGAGAAGAATGCAGGAATTCTCCTCTGAAAAGTCACGTTCAGCATCTTTCTATCGGCTGCCATTCATTTCTAGCCATCGGTTTTGATCAGCCTGCGCGGGAGTTAGTTCCCCCAGTCCACCTTCCCTCCCTGACTGGCCCGGGGTCTTTGGGCCCATTTCTAGAAGATCCGGGCTCTGGACCATTGATGCCAGCGGCTCTTGGCCTGAGCCCGCTCCTCCCCGCGCCCCTCGCACCGGAGGAGGAGTTGAAGCTTCCCTCGAAAGAGGCTTCGCTCCGCGCCACCAACACGACCACCGGGCGCTCTGAAGGCGGAGGGGGGGCTGCCGATTCCCCGGCAAGATCCCGGGGACCCCGAGAGGCTGGGCTCGCAGCAATCCTCCCCCGGGTGCGCTTGTTCGCGGGCCGCTGCGAGGAAATCGGGTGGGAGGGGCAGCCCCCGTCCGCTTCTTTGCTCCGAATACCGGCAACTTCAGGGGCAAATTTGGAGTAGCTGCCCGGTGCCCCAGCCCCGACTCCCCCAACTTCTAAAAGAAGGGAGCCCCCCCCCGCCGCTTCCCTCTCGCTCCGCCCCCGTCGAAGCGGCCGCTGCGCACACCTATAAATGACCCCCCTTCAAAACCTGCGCAGAGAAAGTTGCAATTAAGAGAAGCGGCTCTTGGCTCTGCGGACTTTGGCCCCTTCTGAAGCCGCCCCGGGAATCGCCTGCTTGACTCCGGCCTGCGAGAGAGTCCCAAGGACCATTCACGGTCCATAAATTCTCTCCCCCCCCCCCCCCCCCGCCAACTGGGAGGCTCCAGACACTGACGGGAAAGGGGAGAGGCGCCCCGAAATCGGGCCTCCTTCCGCCAGTGGGGCTTGGGAGCTGCCGCAGCCTGCGCTCCTCGGCCCCTTGCCCCAAACGGCCCCGGGGTCAATGAGAGGGACTCAGACGGGAGCTTCTCCCTCCGGTGCGCCAAGGAGCCTAAGAAGAGGCTGCCATCGGGGGCTGTGCCGCTCTTGGCCTCGCCTTCCACCGGGGAATCGCCGGCACTTTGACGAGCCTTCAGTGCTCAGTTGTCGCTGAGCCGGCCGGATTTCAGCACTGCTCGTGGTCCAGCGAAGATGGGCCGGCCTGGGTGCCCAGCAGACCCCTCCCCTCCGAGGCGCTTGAGCAAAGGGGACCGGCTCCACGGGCAAAGCTCCCTCGGCCGCGGTGCTCAGGGCGGGGGCAGAGATTTGGAGCTGGCAGCCCAACCACCCCCCACTCAGGGCTGCGGAATGACGGTCGGAGAATTGCGCCTACAAGACCCGCCGGTCGTGGCAGCCAGCAGCGCAGCCCAGATTCCGCCTGGACTATAAGGGGAGCGAAGCGGAGCCGGAGGAAGAGCGGGACGGGGCCGCTGCTTGGACCTGAGCAGCCCCGAGCCAGGCTCGCCCTCCCGAGGGAGAAGAAGCCCCCTCTGGCCGGGTTCGGCTCAAGCTGCTCTCCCCTCGCCCCCACCCCACAACCGCCTGGCTCCGCCGCGCTAGGGGCAAAGCGCTGAGACCGCTCGGGAACGCCGAAGACCCAGCGCCGAAGCCATCCCCGGGGCAGCCGCTCTGGACAACGGACCCAGGGCGTCTGTACCGAGGATCGTCGCGTCTTTCCCGCCGTCCCTCCCTGCCTTCCCTGCCCTGGTCCCGGGAGGCTGGAAGAAGCGGCGCGGCGTGGGAACAGTGGGAACGCAGAGGTCGCGGGCGCCAGGCGGAGCCAGGACCGGCGGGAGCACCTCTCCCCCCTCAGAGACTGGGGCACGAGAGCATCTGCAGAAGGAAGGAGCTGTGGCGGGCGACGGGCCTCTCTCTCCGCGCCGGCCCATCGGATCCTAGGGGACTTTGGGGCTCCTGGTTCTTTCTGCCTGCGGACGGGCCACCTTTTCAGGCATCCATACATGCCCGGGGGCTGCTTCTGCGGCTGCTGCCCCATCCTGTCAAGGTGGTGCTGATGCGCGAGGATACTTGAAGCCGGAGCCGAGAGGAAGGCGCCCCGGGGCTCCGGTCCGCTTCAAGCCACGTGGCCCTGCCTGGCTCACCGAGAGAGAGCCCACTTTGTCGGGCTGACGGGGAACCTCACTGTTCGGGACAGGCGTTTTCCGGGGGCTTCCGGTGCCCAGTGGCGTTTGCGAGGGGAGTTTGGGCAACCCCCACTGGGCCATCTGCAGTATGGCTGAGGGGCGCCTCCCTCGAGATCCAGATGGAGCGAATGGAGCGGGAAATGAATGGGCAGCTCTCGGCGTCTGCACCGAAGCCAGCGGGCTGTCAGCCTCCTGGAGTGGTGGCTGTGAAGGATTCCTCGGTCCCTCCGAGACTCCTCGGAGCCAGGAGAAGCAGAGCGGGGAGCTTCCCCTTGCCGAAAGGTTCCGAGACAACGACACCGCTGTGCCCCTGTAGAGAGGAAGCGCCCCGGCTGCCTCGGGCCGGAGAGGGGTCCACCTTGGCCATTCGGCAGACGGGGAGGGCTGGAGCTGGCCAAGGAGACGCCTTTGTTGCGGTTAAGGGGAGAAGATGCCTAGGAAAAGCACCTTCTGGAGACAGGTGGGGGGCCCTCGATGTATATTTGGGGAGGGAGGCCCGCCCCTCCTTCTTGCTGTCTGTGGGGAAGTCCCTGGCTTCCGCCTCATCCCTGCTTGGCTGTGCTGTGATCAGGGGCTCTTTGGACACCCCTCCCCCCTCCTGACTTAGCAGGTGCCGAATTTTTCATGTCAGAAGAAGAAGAAGAGGAAGAGGAAGAGGAAGAGGAAGAAGAAGAAGCATCCCTGAAAGTTGCAGCCTGACTGTGACTTGTGATGAGTTTTATCTTTGGCCGGGATGGAAAACCTCTGTCCCACCTGATGGGTTTGGTTTGGTTTGTTAGATTTATATGCCGCCCTTCTCCCAAGGAAAGTGAGCTATGAGACTCTCAGCGGAAGAGAATTTCCACAGAATCTCATGGCTGAAGGGGGAATCCTCAGTGGAGGGTCTCTGAGCTGGGCAGATTGATCATTCCAACTCCTACTGTCCTTGGCTGAGAATCAATCAATCAATCAATCAATCAGAAGAGAGCTGGAAGGGACCTTGGATGCCTTCTAGTCCAGCCCTCTGTTCAAACAGGAGACACTATACCATTTCAGACAAGTGGCTGTCTAGTCTTTTCTTAAAAACCTCCAGT